TGTCTACAAAGAGCTTCGGAAAGAACGCGAGAGGATACTCGCTTCGCACCTCGTGGCTGTCGAACGGCACGTCGTTGTTGTCGACCATCAGATCGTGCACCAGCCACTCGAATTCCTTCGAATTCACGTCGAAGGAACTCACTAATCCGGTTAGCGACGCCATTATTATTTATTGTTATTTCACTTATAACAAGCGTGAAGTGCTTTCTTTTCTCACGCGTCCTCTAAAACGCGGAAACGGCCTCCCGTTGATTGAGGTTACGTCGGAACGTAGACAAACGTGTTCAAACGTGACAACGGGAGGTTAGGTGATTGCGATACTCGTGTACGGGGATGCCGATAGATGACGACACGTCAACCTAATTGTATTTTAAAACACACACGTGGGGGGCGAGAGAGCAGAAATAGACCGATTTCTGACTCTTTATCATGAACTCGACTGATGCAGAAAACCTATAATTTCTATATTACATTCGTATAATCAGTGAGAGATTTAACACGACTGACACTACGATCGCACGGAGCTCATTTGACGAAACTGTCGCGCGATTACGTTTTACCGACGCGATACACGTTACAACGGCGGATGCTTATCGTCAAAAAGGGAAGGAATGCGTCGTACTTTTAACAATTCTTTCTCTCCCCCCCCCCTCCCTCCCATAGTTTACCAAGAATATTCTTCGCAATTCCGTTGATTTTATCTGACGACTGTTATGTTCCAAAAAGAACGTAACATGCCGTCGATTTATACAAATTCTGTAAATCCTGTTAACTAATAATAGCGAATTCGGTTGCTTGCACTAGTGCGCACTGCGAGTGCACGCTAAGGCTTGTTTACATTCAATTCTTACATTCAACTTTGTCTTGAATACGCGTTGAAAAAGTATTAACTAAAGAAAATGATCCGTACGGATGCTTTACAGATCGTTTTACTGGGTGAGAAATATTTCAAGAGATATCTAAGACGAGCCTTTAATATAAGAATTGACTGTAAACAAGCCTTGTCAAAAAATCTAACCTTGTAAATACCGAATTTTGTTTCAGTGGTTGGCATCACTACTTAACGTCTAGTTAAGTTAACTAGCCACTGTAAAATTGGGCCTAAATAGTTGAAAGCCCACGTCACGTTGGCTTATGCAATTCCTAAAGCGCCGCCATTACGTGGAAACGAAGCGCGTGACTAATTGTCATTTATTTCCAGATCGCCGCGGAATCGCGGATTCGGAAGGATCCCACTTGCGAGGGCGGTCGTTATCACCTGTGAGAGCTGACGCCATTAACGCGATTGTATTTCATTGTCAGCGATTGTATTTCATTAAACTGTCGGAGCGCTCGATCGCATCGCGCCACCCGCCCCTTCTAATTAACAAAATTGCAATGTTAGAGCAGATATGCGCGAGAGAATCAGGCCTTGAGAAGCGGATTTTAACGTATCAGCGATTCTTTTTCAACGTTGTCGAATTACATTTATATATACAATTGTAAGGTTATAATTACAGCTGTAAATAATGTAGGCGAAATTTAGAGAAACTCGAAGTAGCTCGTACATTTGCGTTTCAGTAAGAACCGAGAAATCGACGTTGATATAGAAAATATCGGTCGAATGTGCTTTCCTTTCTTGCGCCTCTCCGCGTCGAGTGACTTTCGGATTTTACGTTCCCAATTTACCGTTGGTTTGTTTCCTTTTTGTTTACAAATTACAATTGTCCACGCGAGAAACGCAAAATGGCCCGAACCTTCCCGCGTCTGCTCGCCCGTGTTCGAGAGCTGTCGATTCGCTCCTTTGAAAAAAAAAACTGCACCGGGAACTGCGTGGAACGCGAGCGTGAGGCGCGCGGAAATCCAGGCGTTACGTAAAGACGCTGAGAGAAGGAAAAAATAACAGCGTGAATCGCGCTCTGCGAAAACAAAAGGTGTACAATGACTGTTGCACGCCGACGCCGCTATTAACGCCCTCCTACCCGGCCGTTTCTCGGAATCTCTTAATTACGTCTCGCTGCTCCTGCCGTGCGTTCGCGCCGCGACCGAAAAGGATCGCGCGTTGTAAACGCAAATGCGAGGATCGCTAAGCACGCGCGCAAGTGCTTGGCCCGGATGCACGGGAAAGCTTCGGCCAATCTCGGCCGACCGGCTGGTCCAAAACGGCGTTGTTTTCACTCTCTTGCGAGCGTGTTTGCTTTGTACTCCGTCGCGAAAGTATAGCGATAGGCAGGATGGTTGAGACACTTTTTTTTGCTTCCTCATGGAGGAAGCTCTTGAATTTATCTGAAGATGCTGTACGGAACATTCCATTGGCTACGGACCTTACAATTTTTTCGCTACAAATGTAACTATAGTTACAGTTACAAGTTGCCAATTCTGAAAAGTAACGTACCGTACAAAAAATTGCAGGATTTTTTTTTTAAGGAGATTTATTTGCCATTCAGTCAGTCCGTAACTCGAGCGGCACATCGTTTTATCGGTCATAAGAGAATAATTTAAAAAAAAACCCTACTTCTAGAATGATAAATGTAGCACTGGTCCATTCAACTTCAGAAATAATCGTTTCCTACTTCTCCTGAAAAGGTCAGCTTCTCAAAGCCAGGAAAAGCCTTTTCCCAAACAAGAACTGTACTTCGTCGTGTCCTTCAAAACATTTTCCACAATTCCTACAGTGATAAAAGAAAAGGGAAGAAAATAAAAACGGTAGGATTTTTAGTGTAACCTTCGAAGCAAATCTCGATTCGTCTCGGACATTCAATTTGAGACAGTAAACAGCCTAATATTACATTTGTCGTACGGCAAATTTTTCGAGCTTGTTGATTAGCAGCTGAGTAGAAAATTTCTAGATACTCGAGACTTTACTATCCTGCAGCCAATGAAAGCACTTAAAAAATTTGCCGTACAACAAATGTGACATTAGCCTTAAGCCCGTATCAGACTACGAATTGAGATTGAGATTAGATTGAAATTTGAGCAATTAGAGTAAAAGTTACTAAACTTGACATTAGTAAACTTTTACTGTGATTGGTCAAATTTCAATCTAATCCCAATCTCAATCCGTAGTCTGATAGGTTAAAGGCTAAAGGCCTGTGTCCAAGTCCTAGTTTCGAGAAATGTGTAGCCAATTAACTCGCAGTCTATTCCATAAAAGCTACAAGTTCACTGGCCACACACTTCTCGGAACTAGAACTTGGATCAAGTCCTAGCATCGTGGACGCAGGCCTTAATATCACATTTTTCGCGCGACAATTTTTTCAAGCCTGTTGATTGGCTGCTAAATAGAAACTTTCCAGATACTCGAGAATTTGACTATCCTGCAGCCAATGAACGCACCTAAAAAATTTGTCGTGCGACAAATGTGATATTAGCCTTGGGCAGACGATTCTCGATTCATTTTGAATTTCGCCAAGAAATTCTCTCTCCCCCCTCTTACTCCTTGTACAACATTTAACCCGGCGATCGTACCCGTTAAATTCATACCAAGCGGGCCCCTCGCGTACATCCCTTCACCCTTCCGTCCCACGCCCTGCCCCCTCCCGGTCCCTCCTCCCATGGTGCCCCGTTCCTCGTCGGTCGGTTCAGTTCCCCCACCAACCGGTGTCCAGTTATGTTGTGGCGAGCGTCGCTGGTTCGGCGGTCCGTCTTGTCTCTCGCGTCGTTTCACGGATCGCGCGGATCGCACCGATCTCCGTTTGCGTTTCGCGACAGTTAGTGCGCGTTCGGATCAGTTAAGTCACGCCGATTTCGGACGCGTCGCGTATCACAGCCGTGCCGAGCGGAAGCGCACAGCGGCGGCGAACGGCAAGGATCATCGGCGGAGACAGGCGGGACGCGGGCGGCGGAGCGGAGCGCGAAGGCGGAACGGGGGAACGGGGGAACGAGGAGCGCTCGGGCATCGGCTTGAATTCAGCCGTGGATTTCGCGGGCGGCAGGCGAATCTCGCCCCGGAAGCCTGCGAGGATCTGTCTACCCCCTTTCGACCACCTCCGTCCACCGCGGGTGAGCGCTACGGCGAGAATGCGGCGCGACCGGCCGACGGACGATGGCCGTTAGAACGGTGAGTGCATTCGCATTCGAGCATTTCGAGCGTGTATGCGCGCGCTCGCGGCGCTCGTACGTGTGCGCGTATGCGCGCGCGCGCGCGGCCACTGCCATATTGAGGCAGCGAGGATTCTCGAAGCCTGGCCGCCGGCAGCGGCGAAGTCGCCGGGATTCGACCGCCCGCCCGTCGGATTTCGGGAACGCGTCGCCCCCTCGTTCTCCCCCTCCCCGTCGCTCGCTCGCCCGCTTGCGGGAGCACGCGATGCCACCTTCTGACAGGTGGAATGCGCGCGGCGGGTAGGGGGGGACCGTCGTCGGTTTGCGGGCCGATCGCAGCGACGCGAGCGACACGTTCCTGGGACGCGCGAGAGTGCATTCGCGACGAACTCCGCACCGCAAGGGGGCGGGGGGCCGGGGGCAGTCGATCACTTCTGACTTCGGCGGCTTTTTGTCAGGAAGTTGCTTCATTCTTTTCATATTTGTTATAAAAGAGACATTGGTGGAATAACTTTGTTAGTACACGGAGAGAGTTTTCTTCCAAAGTTTATCATGAAAATATTGCAATCGTGAGACGAACGAGGAATTTTAGGAGTTTTTTTAAATGCTAACGTACATTTTGCTAGTAATTATGCCTAGTGTTACATTTTACTGGGGAATTTTCCAAAAACTCTTATAAAGTTCTTCAAAATGCCACCTTGTCCCGCGATCCCATTATTTTCCGGATAAATTTTAAGAGAAAATTATCTCCGTGTGCAAATACTTTCTTCTTCTCCTTCGGGTTTTTTGGCTCGCAGCGCCTACAAGTGAGCTGATACGGCCACGACGAACCGGTAGTCTCAATGGTCTCTACAATGTTGATCAGAGTATAACACACTATCTGAAGTCTATAACACTGCAATTACCCGGAAACCACGCGCGTGTTAATGCAATCGGATGACGCACCCCGCAGGATCAAAAATTTTTCTTCGGTCAGAAGACTTGCCGCATTAATTTAGAGTCGATTTTTTGTACGATTTAAAATAGCGACCGGCGCGTTATTTGATTCTGTGCGAAGGTGTCGTCCTCGAGTTGTTAAATTTTCCCCTTCCTCTCTACTTGATATCCCCGAGTTCTCTCTCTAAATGTGAAATTGACAAGTTTTTTTTAGTATTCAAATTACAAACGATTGAAGATAAGAGGGAACGTTTTAATTTTCAGTAGAAAGAAATATTGGCGTCCGTCTATGAGAAGTGCTATGATTTATTTACGTAATTCTAAGCGTGG